GCAACAGCCCTTAATTATGCATAGCTTTAAGCCTTAATAGAATATAAACAGGTGAGTTATATAATAAGTCACTCCTACAGTTGTCATGAATAGGGAATTTAGCTTTTGAGACCAAAACTGTTTTTTGTACCAGGCTGTAAAATGTCTAATCAATTTCTATTCCAATATTTTCATCATCTCATCTTTGCATTTACATTGTCTGGTGCTTTCTCATATATCATTCCAGTCTTCCTCAGTTATCTCCAGTCTTGATTATGTCTCCCATTTCTTTTTTAAATGGACGGTCCAGTAGTTTTTAGCCACACTATCGCTGTGTCTCTATGGTAATGACGGTCAGTCCTCCATTAGTCTGGTCCAGACTGAAGTATTTCAACAACTATTGGATGGATTGCTGCACTTGTGGTTCCCAGAGGATGAATCCTAATGACTTTGATGATCCGCTTTTGACTTTTCCTCTTGCGCCACCTAAGGCTGATATTTAGGGTGTCTAGTAGAAATGTGTAAACCACTGTTGGATAGATTGCCATGAAATTTGCCACAGACCTTCATGTCCTCCTCAAGATTAATTGTGATCACTTGATGTTGGTGATTCCTTAACTTTTCATCTAACTAACTACATCTTTTGTGCTAATAAACACATTTGAACATGCTAACATACTGAACTAAGATGGACATGGTAAACATTATACCTGCTAAACATCAGTATGTTAGCATTGTCATTGTGAGCATGTTAGCGCGCCTTTAGAGTTTTCTATTGTATTATCATGATATTATGTTTGTCTGCTTTAATCTGACCCATTATTTTATTGTTTATTTGTACAGGGACAAATATGTAGCATGAACAAATGCCACACACCAACACATGTATAACATAAGCTCATTTGCAATGCCTGTCCCTACATAGGCCTTTAAAATACAAAACAACTCACAAATATAAAAGAAACAGCACAAAACTCAAACTCTGCTAACATCTGCTTGTTTCACTACACTTTAAAACAAGAAAAGACCAACCAACAACTTCTCAGTGATACGTCCAGCCTGCTATTTAGAAGTTTAGCATTTTGACAGTAATGAATATTCACTAGCTGAGGAAAAACAACTGAATATTGAAACGAATTCACCAGAATTGATAGAAAATTTACTGATTTTTTTTTTTTAAGCAATGTAATGTGCAGTAACTTTGACGTCCCCCTAGTGTTGTTGTATCATTATCTTCCATTTGGCCCATTTTGCTGCTGCCTCGTGCTTCCAAAGGTGAGAAGTTCACTGTGAGCTGAGAGAGTCTGCGGCCTCACAGGTCGGTTGTTATCAGCACTGCTCTGACACAGGAGGCTGAATGTAAAGCCCAAGGTTTTGTTATACAGCACCATTCATCATGTTAAAGGTCTGCATTGTGGTTTCGCTGCAAAGGCAAGACTGCCTGGAGGGGTCAACGGTAAAAGCCTCCACTCTGCTGACTGAACAGGGGATAAGACTTCATATACAGCTCAGTATGTGTGTGAGAGAGAAAAAGAGATGGCTGGATAGAAACTGACGCAGGCAGATTGTTCCCTGGTTGGCTGTGGTCGACATAAATCACCAGCTCTCCTGGTGGAAGGGGGCAAGACTTTGAGTGGGGATCAATTTTCAGAGAACAGTATTCACTGCATCCTCTCTGGGGAACTCTAGAAGGTTCATGGGAAAATGCACGATGTGAAGGATGGAGTAACAGAGTTCTTTGTCCTCTTAATGTTTGCATATCTGAAGAATGAAGCCATTCACAGTGTTTTCGTAATCATAAATAACATAACTTTGAGTTTTCAAGTGCTGGAACAGTTAGTTGATTAATATATTAGTTAATCAACTACGATTTAATCCTAAAATATTAGAGTTTGCTGCTTTTCTCTGTTTTACATATTTGCAAACTGAACGTATTTGTGTTTTGCAGTGTTAGCAATTTCAAGATGTCACTGTAGGCTCAGAGAACCTTTCATAGACTATATATAGAAATGATTAATCAAAAACAAGACAGTTTACAGCCATGCTAGTGGCTTAATGAAGCTGTACAGTGGTGCTTTGACCTAAATGCTAACATGCTCACAATGATGAAGCTAATCTAAGTTTAGCATGCTAACATTTATTAATTAGTACCAAACACAGCTGAGGCTGAGGAGAATGTCATTTAATTGTATATACATTTGTTCTTAAATCAAAGTATAGGAAAATGAAAACGATTCATCCACTATGCACCTCGGATATCTGTACCAAATTGCATGGCAATCCATCCTCAAGATATTTGAGTCTCGACCAAAGTAGTGGACTCATTTCCAGACCCACGTTAGAGCCACACTGCTAGCATGGATGAGCCACTGCTCTCTTTTCCCCAAAGTCTCTATACTGCACTGCATAAAACTCATTGGAATCATTTTTATGTTAGGTAACATGAGACCAGGCATAGCTGTGGCACTAAAAACCGAGCTGACGGCTTGCTCTGAAGGAATGTAACTGATAGTGGAAATACATTTTCACAGTGACACTGACAAAGAAACTGTATTTACTGGGGAATAGTCATGTCTGGCTGATACCTAACCTGTTTTACTAAATGAATAAAGTCATAGATAATAGATAAAGTCAAAATGCTCAAAATTTGCTGGTAGCAGCCTCTCAAATGTAAGGATTTGCTGCTTTTCTCTGTTTTCTATCCTTATCAATATAATAGGGTACATTTGGGGGTTTTGCACTGTTGGTTGGACAAAATAAGAAACAGGAAGATGTCACCTTGGGCTCTTGGAAAATGTGAATGCCATTTCAACTATTCTTTGACATTTTATAGACATATACATTTAATAAAAACATTTAATAGTATTTATAGTATTGCTAAGTAGTATGACCAAAAAATTATAGATAAATATTTAAGATTCTGGTGGTTTGCTTGACTGGGCCTATCCTATCTATATTATAGTGGCTTATTCTATTGTCAGGAGAACATTGAATATAAAAGCATTGTAATTTCCTTATGTATATACTTAAGTCTTTGATTTGAAGGGTTTTATTAGCCCACAAACTGATGGAATGTATAAAGAAATCAGAACAAAAACAATTTTAATATATACATTTTTATTTATTTGGGCTTTTATTGCCTTCAGTTGAAAGCGACAGCTGAAGAGTGACAGGAAACGGTTGGAGTTGAGCCCATGGCCGCTGTAGCAAGTACTCCGGTACATGGGGCGTGAGCTCTACCAGGTGAGCTACCAGGGTGCCCCAGATTGTAAACAGTTATATAGTAAACATAGTAAAAACAGAACTTAAAAATAAAGAAAGATATGTCAAAATCTAATATTGTAATATTGCTTCCTTTCCAAAACTAAATATTTTAAAAATTGTTGTATAAACACTAGAAACTGACATAAAATACTGAAAAAAAGTATTCAAAGAGTTGTTTTTCAAATGTTCTATTGTAGAAGAAACTAATTCCAGCTATGCAACTGTTTGGCTGTGTATAAAAAAATCAATATCATATGGGAAATTAAAACATATTAGTTAATAATGAAATAATTCTTAGTTGTTGTCCTAGATATGTCTAACCATGAATTAATTGGACTCAAACATTAGATATGTACAGACACTAGATCTGACATGATTAGTCAAATAATTAATTGATTAGTCGATGGATGGAATATTAATCTACAACTATTTTGTTTATTGTGTAAAACCTGGATATTACCTACCTCCAGCCTCTCAATTGTGCAGATTGGCTGCTTTTCTTTGTCTAATGTTGTAAAAATCTTTGGGTTTAGACTGTTGGTCAGAGAGAACAAGCCATTTGAAGCCAGTCTTCCTGTACTTTAGGAAGTTGTGATGGTCTGTTGATAAGGGATTACAGATGAAAAGAGTGACAGTGGTAGTGTGTGAAACTACAGCATGAGGGCAGATCAAAGTGAACTGTTGTTGTTCTTTGAAATCTATGAGAAACCTATTAAAAAACAACAGCCGGGAGATACTGTAGTGGACAGGTGACCTCTCTCAATCTCTTTACTCGTCGCATAAGACGATAATGTGGCAATAGGATGAGGCAAAAGCTGTGAGAGCTGAGAGCAATGCTGCTCGGCAAAGGGCTGATCAATACTGCAGCTTCTGTAATCGTGGGTAGAAAGAGAACATTGATTGTGAACACGGGGAATCTCAGGGAAAAGAGGGCGATACAGGGCCGTGCTGAACCAGAAGACAGGACAAAGACAAGCGCTGTTACCTCAGGCCACTGTACACAAACATGGAAAGGTCAGCCAAAGCCACCCAGTGCCACTCTGGCCTGTGTTGAACTACCAGAACAAAGCGTTAAGCAGAGCAGACATGCCGGTTTTCTTGAATGTCATACACAATCCTTTCTGGCCACAGGAAATGAAACGCGTCTGCTTTTCCGTGTCTTAGGTTATGTGTCTGGCTGGGTTTGAATCTTCGAGCCAACGATGAGTGAGGCAGAGATTCAATTACGCTGTGATTGAATGTGATTCATTAATCACAAACGGGAAAATGTGGGGTTTAATTTCCATGCCTCGAGCTGTGGTTTCTGCTCAAGATGACCGCACTAATCTCTACCTTGAGTAATTTGGAATTGAGCTGCCGGCTTGATGTCGGCGAAAGCAGGCCTTAATGTGCACGGAGGGATATTTTTAACGATTCTTGTGTGAAGAGAGCTGTGGTAAATAATATCCTGCAGGCGTTGTTGCATGGGAGGTGAGAAATTTAAGGGTGTTGTGTGTTTTTATGGCGCCTCTCTTACGCCTCATCTCACACTCATTCATAGGCCTCCTCCTCACTTTCTTTCTGTCTCCCACATCCTGAAAAGTTTGCGCAAAAGGAAGATAAAAAAAAGTTTTACCTGTAAACAAGCTGCGATAATGAGAGCATAAAGCAAAAATTATGATAACGATGCTTTTTCTGTTTCCCTCTCCCCCATCTTTCTCTCTGGCCCATTACTTTCCTAACTTCCCTCTCTCTGTATTTGTTTTCCTCCCATGCAGGTACTTTGTGTTGGATCCAGAGTTGGGGCAGCTGCACTACTTTGTCAACGAGCAGGGGAAGAGCCAGAAGCCCCGTGGGTCCCTGCCCTTGATCGGTGCCTCTGTAACCCCGAGCGACGAGGCTCCGCACATGTTCATTGTAAACTCTGTCAATGGAGAGCTGTACAAACTCAGAGGTATGACCTCATGCCGGCCTCAGGCTGACCGTATATGGCAAAGTGCAAACACTGAGTGGAGTGTGTTATGTTGGAGTCACTTGGAGTGCAGAGCACATACTGGGGTGTTATGAATGAACTTTTTTCCGTTCAGCATATTTGTGAATGCATTAAACAGCTGGTTATGGAGAGCATCTGATGAATCTGAATTAAAGCTGCAGATTTTTACTCTTAAAGCTGCTCTATAATTATTGTATTTTAAGATGGATGATTGATGTAAGTAAGTAAAGCTTTATTTATATAAATGAGAGAGACATAGTGAAGATAGAGACAAAGAATTAAGATTGCTTTTGCCATTGCCAATGAGATGTGTTTTGGCCGCCAGGCATACGATTATAAGTGACATAGGCCGCCTGGTTACCATGGTTAGCACTTGGTCAATATCAACGCTCATTCTAGATGGACTTTGAATTAGACCAACCCCTGTTTTCTGCACAGGCATGCTTCATCAATGATTTTGCTTCAAGGGAGAAAAAAACATAAATTGCTGGTCTCGGTCAAGACAAACTAGAATATTTGGCAAGACCAATGGCGAAGTCTGAGAACAAAAACCAATGAGTCCAAGACAATAGAAAAGATGAAAAAAACCCATCTAAAATCCCAACTACCAAGTAAATATCAATTTTGGAAAGTACATGCTCATTTATTAAGCAAAAAAAAACAGTTGTGAGGGTTTACTGCTTTTGTCTGTTTTATGTGATTGTAAATTGAATATCTGTAGCTCAGAAAAAATAAGCTTCAACCTTGGACTGTGAGAGACATTTTATAGACCAAATCTTTAATCAGTTAACCGGAATTTAATTCAGTTCAACTTCATTGTCATTGTACTTGCATTCAAGGGAACCTAGTCTTTCAGAGATTTGTAAATCATAAAAATATATAAAAAACAAAGGCAAAAGGATTTTAAGAGAAAGGTTAATTAAAGTGCCGTGAAGATCCTGATATTATGACACATAATAAAAAAAATATACTTTTAGGGGGCAAAATAATTGTCAAGACTTAAGTATCTAATGTAGAAGTATATATAATTTGCTTGTTTTATTTTATTTTCTCATTCTTATTGTCCAAGGAATTTGAAAAGAGCCTCCCATGTCCATGTACAGGTTTTAAAAACCTTGGATATACTGTATATACAGTGGAAAATTCAGCTCAGGAGGCATTCGTCTGCACCATAGTGAAATATTGCTTTAAGACCCAGTGCCAGACAAAGAGCCTGTAGCTGGTCACTGTGTTGAAGGCCTTTGCTTTCAGTGACCTGTATCCACTGAAGCGAGAGAAACTCCTTTTTACTGTTGCTCCACTTGAGCCGCTGGAATGTCCCCTTACACTCTCGAGGGGGAGGATATCAGAATAACTTGGCCTATATTCCCTGAATAACTCAGTGATCCATGTGTATTGAGCTAAGAGGAAACAATGATCCCACAGAGAAGGAGAAGTTGGGCTGAGTAGCTCACAGGCAGCGGTATTTCCATTTCCAACGCCTCGGTGAGAGTCGAGAATGATCAAGAAAGTCATTGAGAGAGAAAAGCAATCTTTTGGTGCAGCTCAGCCAAACAAACCCAAGGTTAGTAGGTGTGACTGGTGCCAATAACACCCCCCCCCAAGTACGCCACTTCAGAAACAGGTTTATTAAGATTTTTAAGATTATTATTATTTTTTTTTTATTAATTGAAGTTCAATAGCAGCATTTGTGCTCAAAAACTTCAATTTGCTCAAACAGCAGGGTACAAAGTGGCCCAGCAGTCTGTGATTAAGATTAGCCGGTATGCTTCAGATCCAGTATTGGTTACCATGGGAATCCCTGAAAGCCTAACCTGGGGTTGAAAAAGAGTAACTTGAAGGTTCAGTCTGGAGTAATGTATAAACTGCATATCATCTCACGGATGGTCGGTGTCTAAAGCTTTAAATGCCACCTTTATTCTCAGGTTGAGACCTTTTCACAAGAGGGTTCTGAACACATGTCCCTGTTGGTGACTGGTATAAGAAGATACTGGATACACAGAATCTGTAGCTGCTGCAGAAGCAAGGGCACAATTTCAGTGTTTCAGTTAGATTCATTACCAGAAATCTTTTTCAAGTAGTAGCCAGTGATTCAGGCAACATACAAGCAAGGTTGTTTGGGCTGAAAACTCTTCCAGTTTTATAAAATGTATTCATAATTCTCGTAATCAAAGACAGTTCTCTTTGTAGATACAATTAAAACATTATTTATTCAGTTCAAAAGTTCATTGTTGACTTTGGAAATGATTTTTTAACAAAACATTTATCCAAGTAGCTATCCTCTAGTAGCCTCACAAGTAAATTATAGGTGATTATTGGGTTAGTGCACTATAACACAGCAATTTATGTTTTGCATACTAGCATTATTATGGAAAGCACAACCAATTTTACTATAATGTATTATTTGCTAGATGATATAAATGAAGAAGATAGCATTACCATTATTTGTATATACTTGCTTTGTGGTGTCTTCTATGCAACAGTTGATCACAGCTCTTAATGTTTCCTAAGAATGTCTACTTCAAGGCATTGTGGGACTTTCATGTGACATCTAACACAGCTGCAAAGTAGTGTAATTTGCTAGAGCAGAGGAATATAAAGGCAGTATTTCTGCTGTAGTGTAGTGCCCTGTGTATTGCTGCAGAACAAAGGTGAAGAGCTGTGGGAATTTAATCATGTCTGAATGTGCAGATGGCAAATTAAGCAATTTATCATACGATGTTGCAGTGAGACAGTCAGCCAATGAAAGGGTCAAGTTATGCTCAGCACAGCTTTCAAACTGGCTGATTAGAATGCGTGACACAATCTTTATGGTGCATCATAATAATTAAAACAATACTGTGGCAGTGTTTTGATGCTGAACCCGTCCTAATGATTGATTATTATAAAGCTTCCAAGATCATATCTCAATACAAATCTGCCAAAATATGTCTCTTATTTGCAACAGCAAACTATTTATATGATTTCCATGACTACTGTGAGCTGTGTACTTGACATTTTTTGCCAGTGTGTTTATCCAGAGTGACTGTCAGTGAGTGAACAGTTATTGTCTTGCATCTCAGATTAACATCAGTTATTGCACGGTTTCATCAAAGCATCCTCGTTTACATCCTTGTTTTCTTGTTGAGAGTTAGATAAGAAGATCGATACCACTGTCTGTATGCCAAATACAGGGGCTAAATACTGGAGCTAAAGCCAGTAGACAATTATCTTAGATTAGCATAAAGAGTAGAAACAGGTAAGCAGGCAAAATAATCAGAGAAACAGTCTGTACTTGTTGTCTTTATCTCTTGTAGTCCTAAAGGTTGCTTTAATTCAAGAACAAAAAGTCAATAGCAACAGGTCACTTATACACATGGATGTTTCAGGCTCCGCCTTCCTTGTAGTGTTTGTGTCCCACAGGAAAGTAACACTTATTCTGCTAAAATATGACATTCAATTCCCCTCTGCTATACTGCATAAACGATGAACACATCACAACAAACGTAAGGTGCAACAGTCTGAATCTGGAGTGAATAAAAGCTATTAAAAGCCAATTAAACAGAGTTAAACCTGAAATTACAACAAATTATCTCCTAGCAGATAATATGGTGTTACTGATTTAGTGCGAATAATTACTGGGGTTATTGTGTCATTTTGATGAGGAGAGGCTGGTTGCTGTAATTGCTGGGCTACTCTTCTAACCTCTCTAGTCCCTGTCAGCATGTCCATTTTCTTGAAATATATGTTTAAAGTGCCTCGCTCATAATATCTCCCAGCACTTTAATCAAATCTAACTGCTGGTCCCAATCATTAATCCTCAGACTTAGCATTATCTTAACCAGTAACATCTTTCACAATGCTGTAATTAAAATGGGTGCAATTAGACAATGATGGTGTTGATATGATTGAAAGGAGGTTTCTCTCTCTCTGTCCCAGTAGTGTTCGGATATCGTTCAGCTGTCTCTCTGGGATGGATATTGACATTTAAATAGGACACAGGCCAGGACGGGAGTCTATAGCTTGTTTGCAGTGAAGCGATTCCGATGACGCATGAAATTCAGATGGAAGGGCAGGAAGGCAGGGATGTCTGTGCTGTGCTAGTTTAAAAGGTATCACAGAGAAAGATACAAACATACAATCACAGTATATGTTGGACGTGAGACAGAGGAGCAATTTTTGCAGCTGAATTGTAAAACTTCTGTTACATGGCTCTCTTTAAAGCCACCAGACTCCTGTGATAAAAACAGCAATTGAAGCTCAAATAACACAGGAATAGCAGGTCAATCGGTGCCTTGATCGGTTAGTTTGTGTTATTGTGTGTTTTCTTGTTAGTGATCTAAACTACCATGTTAAAACACCAGAGTCAGTCTGGTGGCGTAGATGGAATATAATGGTTTCAGTTCCTCATTGAAAAGGGCTTTATGACATTTTTCTTTTGTCAATTTCTTGCATTTTTGAAACTTACGAACAACAACTTTTGGTACTTGATAAAAGCTACTTGTGGTTTCTCAGTTTGATCGATTTGAGCAACCGCAAACGATGCAAAAAATGAAATCAGAGAGTTAGTGATAGTGCTTGCAGTGTAGAAAATCACTTCCTGCTCTCTCTAAACAAGCTATTGTCGCTCATTTTAAATGGGCGGACAGACCAGCTTCTCATTTCGTTGTTTCCAGCGCAAACCTAGTGCATTCATCAAATGAATAGAGCTGTCAGCCTGTCACCTCCAAGTCTGCAGCTCTTGTGACACAAAACCAGCTTTGAAATGTACATCAATATCATAGTATTCTCCCTGAATGAGAACAGCACGTCCTGCTCTCAGCTAAGTGCGTCTCTTGCGTCACCATATGAACAGGTGCATATTAGCATAGCCACACACTGCTGTGCTCAATACAGACAACTAATTATCTTTAATCACACTGAAGCTTGTGCATATCACAGAGAAAAATATCTGATTTAGACGCCTGCTCACTCCCTGGGTAAGTGGCTCCTTTGGTGAGTGATTTCTGTGGACGATGACAATGGGAATAAGTGGGAAGGTTGTTACTTGGTGTTTCTGGAGAAAGATAGCTTTGCACAGGTGTTTCTATATGAATACTCTGTTCTCTGGAGAGGCGAGCAGCCAGCCCCAGTGGGAGAGCATGTTTCAAATGCTGCACTCGTCAAGGGTTTCTGTGAACGTCTCATTTTCTCAGAGCTGCTTCTTCACTTAAAGAGGCCTTTTGTAGGTGTTCTCATGACTGTGGCAGATGTCGGCGGTGCGAGTGACTGACAAGTGCAAATTGAATTCTCTGTTTGCTGAAATAACTTCCATCAGCATGTCAAAAAAACTGAAGATTTTAAAGTTTCATTTTGGTGGCGATGCAGCTCCTTATTAGTCTAATAAAGCGATCCATCCTCATCCAGTTGCTAATAGGGAGAGTGCTGCATTCATTTCCACATTTAAAGCTTTTCTTTGGATGAAAATCAGAAGAAACATAATGAAAATACTTGTCTGACAACCAGAGCGGAATTTAATTTTAATTAATTCTATTAAACATTACTGGATCAAAGGTTTCAGTATGCTTCAAACCAGAGTGTACAACATGTGATTAAAAAACATTCTCACCCAAAATGAGGATAACATTTTCACACAGTCTCTTCTCAAACGTATTAATGGAGTTGCACTCAGATGTCCTTTCAACGAGTGACCAATGTAGTAGTGTGAATAATAAAAAAGTTCAAACCCTCACACATAAAAAAAGTGTGACTGTCAGCTTGTCTCGGAAATTGTCAGATGCTAGAACAGTGACTTTTGGCATTGAAAATTACATTTGGCATTAAAAACAAAACCTGAACAGAAAAAGGAAACACTGGCATTGAAACACTTGAACTGGAAAAAGTTGTATTGGCGCTGAAAAATAAAAAACAGACATTTTTTAGTTCTACACAGTTCAGTTGTAAATATATTAACATAATAATCCTGATGAGTCATTACAGGTGATTCATATCCAGATATTACTGAAATCTGTATGGGTTGAAACTAATTATGTGACTGTTACTATTTAATTTTGAGCCTGTCCTGCCAAGGAAACCGACAGCATCGGTCGTTTCAGCCGGTGCCATACAATGTAAGTAATCATGATTGGGGAAAAGGAGGAAGTCAGGAAACTGCAGAGCGACAGACTCAATGTAGTGATGAGGCCGTGGTGAATGGTTTAGTCTACAAAACATAAAACACAGAAGACTGCTGTTTAAAGCATGCCCATGAGCAGCTGATAAAATTAAAAATTAAACTATATGAGCTTAAGTGTGCATGTAAACTGAATCACTACCAGCTGTGGTTAATAAAGAGATTAAGTTATGTGTATGTGTATATGGCAGTGTTTGCTATCTGGTGTATCTGTTAAAAAGAAAGAGATTTTGGGTGTTGTTTTTTTTGGGGGGGGGAGTTTCAGTTGCCATTGATATAGAACTTTTAATAGTTATCTGACCACTGATCACACTGTGTTACAAAATCAAGCACACCCTTAAACAAGGTTGTGCTCAGGTGTACTGATTAACTGCCACACACCTCTCCCTTTGTTACTGAGAGGGATCTTCATTTTAGGTGAGTTTTTAAAGCTATTTTAAAGACAATTTTACTCAATAATTCAAGGTTGAGTGATGCTTTTTTGGAGAACAGGATCACGAAATACAGTCATTTTAACAAATCTAAAATCAGGTGCATTAATTTGCCATCTTTTGTCACTCTTCTTCTCTCTTGGTGCTCCTGCTGGCATTGACCTACAGCATAAACTCAATGTTATCAGACCCATCAAAGACATTGTTCTGTAATAATTAGTCAGTGAAATGGGATCAGAAGGATATTCTTTTCCAGTCTGACCTGCAGCGGGTCAGCACAAGCAGACTGTCAGCGTCTCCTTCAGCTGGAAGGGCTGCAGCCCGCTGTGTTAGTCAGCAAGTCTGGGCTTCAGCTGGCTATTTGTGTTTAGATAACAGGCTGTATTGTCTCTTTGCCAAGGGGAAAACCACAAGCATGCGGAGAGTATCAAGCTGCTTCCTGTGCTGCTCGCAAAATAAATCGCAAATGAATTGCTGCTGTTTCTCGAATACCGAATGTTCAATTTAACATCTAGAGGAGAAAATGAAGAGGTTCAGATGTGATACCAGCCCTGAGGACATCATTCAGAAGGTAACAGGATCAATTGGTCAGGTAGACAGTCTGCAAGTTGAATAATCATTTGGCTGCAAATGAGATCACTGACATCCAGCAGGTCATCCTCACTGATGCCTCAATCATATGCAGCCTTCATCGCCCTTTGTCCAAATGTTAGCACTTTACTTTATATCACAGCTTGAGATAAGATAAGATAAGATGTTCCTTTATTGATCTCTGTGGGAGAAAGTCAAGGCAGTCACTAGTTCAATCAAAAACACTCATTCATTCCCCTTTAAAACCTGCTCTCTAATGGTTACGCTGGTTCCCTGATCGTGTTATGCACTCTATAATCTGCATGTGAAGTATTGATATTTTGGGAAATTCGCTTACTCTCTTTCTTGCAGAGAGTTAGATGATAACGCTCATGTGTTTACGGTAAATATGAAGCTAGAGTAGCAGCCAGTTAGCTTAGCTTAACACAAAAAAAGGGGGAAACAAATAGCCTGGCGTGTTTACACTTTGATTTTTCAGCTAGCCTCCAGTGGTTATGCTAAGCTAAGCTAACCGACGCCTGGCTGTAGCAAAAAGAAGACTCGGCTTGTTTAAAAAAAACTACCATGTGCACTGCGAGGGAGAATGTCTTGAAATGACAAAACAACTACAGAGGGATTTTGCAAGAAACCCACTAAAACCCCTCCACCCAAAAAACTGCCCTTGAAACCGCTTGCACCCACCACCTGCCCTAAATGCTCTATGTATGTGTGGGTTTGTGTCTCTGCCTCCTCTCACCACTTTTCCTCTCAGTAAACGATGTTTGGGGTCAAAACACTTTCCACTGTATCGGTTCCAGCCGGTTGGACATGATCTTATTATGTTGGTGCTAAAAATATTTACAGGAGGGTGCAACAGATATGAGTTGTGTTTTTACAGCTACCAGTATTTTGTCCAGACCTCTCTATACTAGGAGCTCATGAGTCTAGAACTGAAACAATCGATTAGTCAACCAATCGGTTATTTATTGACCAAACACGTCTGTTATTCTCTGATTTCAGTCTCTTTAAATGTGAGCATTTCTGCCTTTGCTGTTTTTATATAATTGTAAACCGAATATCTTTGGGTTTTGGACTGTTGATTAGATATCACCTAGGGCTCAGTGTTTTTAAAACAATTTATAACCTGAGCAATTAATTGGATAAAAAATTAAAATAATCATTAGAAGCTGCTCCACATGAGGCCAAGTCTCCCTAATTCACCCCTCTGCCTCACTCAGAAATATCAGAGCAGATCCCAAAAGGAAAGTATCGAAATTAGTTTCATTTGATTTAATTTTTCATTTTCTTAATAAATTATTATTTTTTTTAATCAACTGTTAAATTAAAATAGATTTTCTATTACTCAACATTATGGTTAAAATTATCTGTCAAAGCCTTCTCTACTCTACTAAGAATTGACTTCTTTGTCTGAGAACAGTACATTTATTATGTGTCTAGAAATAGTCAAATATGGAATATTTTGAGTCTAAAAGTACTTAAAACAGCCAATCAAATACAGTGTTTATTTATTACCTGTATAATTCCTCCCGGGTTGTTGAATCATATCAAGGACACAACCTCAATGTCCTCAAAAATTACAGTAATTCAGCGTTTGCTCTTCTACCTTTCATTCCTTGTGGGAATAGCCCCTGAAAGGCATTCAGACAGTCATTTTATGCTAAAATTGTGACAGTTTATTAAATAATCTTCTTGCGAAAAGACTGAAATTTTAAAATAATCTTGTGATTACTGGCATCTTGTTCCTCCAGCTCACTTAGTGCTCCTATAATTTAAAAGTTAATCTGTGGAAATGGAAATCAAAGTGCAGTAATGAGAACTGAATGGCAAACAACATCGCTGGATGTGGAGACACTTTAAGGCAGATGGCTTTTTTTTATAACTGCATATTGACCTGACTTTGAACTCATGTCAGGATTTATTGGTTATTCTTAATGTCTTGTGTGTAAAGGAAGTTCATTTTATTAATTTATTTTCGTTCTGTGTATCTTTGCAGCCTCCGATGGCAAGGAGCAGCAGTTTTGGATGAGTCAGCTCCAAGCGTGTGCCAGACGCCACTCTGACAGCAGTGCCAAGGTAACACACACACACACACACACACACACACACACACACACACACACACACACACACACACACACACACACACACACACACACACACACACACACACACTGGCAGACACAGAGTAGCACAGTTGTAAACATGACCCTGGTCCAAGCTCTTGGCGTATGTTCCTCAGGAAGAGAAGTGAGCGGAAAAGCCTTGACATTTCCCTTAAGATTCCTGTTCTCCTGTGTGTCTGTTTATAAATGTGACAGTTTCCCGTTTTAGTAAGCTCAGATCAGGTTCATGAGTTCAGGAGCAGGGTCCTCCACCAGGTGAAGACCCTCTGTGCAGTCCCAAAAAGTCCTGATTCTATCTTTCTTTCTGTTCTGCTTCAAGTCCACTGGCTTTTTTAGTGAGCCTAAAGGTGACATTTTTCATTTTAAATGGCATCCTCTCCCATGAGTCTCATTTGACATTCCCACTAGAGTTTTAAAGATTTTTTAAAAGATTTTTCTTTGAATCTGAGTCATATTCATAATAATGTTATTGGTCTGCTAAAATTACTTTTTTTCTCTATGAAGTCTTGAAGCAGCCTCCTGCTTACATTACATACCCCCAGCACCAGCTCTTCATGAGTTCAGACTTATGAAGCCTAGTTATAACATAAGTGAGATAAGTTACCCTGCAGTTGTTACTAAATATTTACACCCTGCTAGGTGTGACTGTTGTGAGCTCACTGATCAAACTGACAAAGTAAAGTAAGAAGAGCTAATGTGAGATGTGACATATCTGACCAGACACCTGATCTGAATGCTGTTTAAAAGATGATTTTCAGCTACACATACTGACATCAATTTAAGTTAGCATAATTTTCTTCTTACTCTAAACTACATTACTACTACTAAGTCTTAACTGGCGCATTTCCTTTATTGTATAGATGAATAAAACAAGAGAGTGCATACATTTTAGAAATAATTGTCAGTCAGTTTAATATATTGTGTGTTATAGCTTGTGACGCTACAGTGACTTTTTGTTTACATAGATGAGTCATTCGATTGGACAACACCACAGATGTTTTTTTAAAAAACTATTTACACGTTACTAAAGTCTAAGATATTTTTAATTTAATGGTGCAACCTGATTTAGTGAATCACTAGTTCGAAACTAGCTAGTAGTTGACCTTATGAGGGACTTTTACACACAAACTTATAAATAGCTCTTGCAACCCAATACTGGTCTTTTTTTTTTTTTTTTACCGCAACAAGAACATTTAAGTAGCCCCTCTAAAATTATAAATTTTCTCTATGAAGTCTTGCAGAAGCCTGCTCCTCCTCCAAATTCAAACAGATGGTCAAAGACTTTTCAAATATTTTCACATGAAAGCAACAGTGCTGAGTCAACTCAACTGGGGAGGAGTTTGGTCTCAATACACCATCTGCATCATAATTTTCTTTCATCTGTTATTAAGAGGTTTCTTTCATTTTCTTCTTTAATCTCTCCCCATGAACACGAACGGGGTTAGCAAATCCACAGTTGCAGACCTTAAATGTCATCCAAATAAAGGCCATGTCTCTGCAGACAAGTAATGCTTTCTAATTAATCAAATCTGTCCATGTGTTTCTGCCTTTACAACTAAGCAAATAGTAAAGTTAGTAAAAGTAAAGTAAATAGATAAAGCGTGAAAATAAGCAAGGAAATATGTGTGAAGAGGAAATAAGAAATAAATTATGAAAAGCAACAATTAAAAACATTTAAAAAGTAAAAATAGTCCACAAGTGAAGAAACATACAAAAAAGATGTAACAAAAGTTCAATTTAAAATGGAAAGATAATATGTTTACAAGATGTGCAAATCCAGCACTGACACTTTGCAGAGCTCAGCCTTAATGTCTCATGTGTAACTCCTCTTGCTTGTCTAATTCGGGAATATTTTTAGCACTTCCATTGACACAAGCGATTTAGAGAAATGTGGTAGCACACTCCTGCTGCTTTATTTGAGGATAAGAGTGTCACTAAATGTTTCACAGGTTTCACTGTCCTCCCTTATATCTCTGGGCTCTTTTCTGAAAGATTAGTGTTTGGTGTTATTAGTAACTAACTTTATCCACAACCAGTCTTTTTTTAATATAGGTTTTCATGGATTAATATTTGGGCATGTGCATTTTTGGAGGTTTAGCGTGGGCTTCGAGGGATTAGTCAGTGTGTGTGCTGTGTGCATCTCGGTGGGGTACATCCCCATTCGCCTGATCCAACGGAGAATGAGGCTTGTTATAGAGTTCCTTCTGGAGCGCCTCTGCAGGTTGTGACGGTGTTGAAATCAGCAGTGCATGAAGGAGAGAAATAATCCAAACTTTATATCTCTTTGGCAAACTTTCCGTATTAAAGTTGATTTTTGGACACGGAAGCTGTGAAGGCACATTTGTCGCCGGTCTTTGCTGCAGCTCTGAATGAACAAGCCGATGTTGGGATGTTTCTAAAATATTTTGAGCCGAGTTTCTTAACTTCTGTACTTCATTGGGAGGCTGGTGCATATTGAAGCAGTGTAAAGTTTAGATTTCATAACGCTGTTTACCAGCCAGCAGCTTTTGCAAATAAAGCTAATGGACTTTTCCGGTGTTGTGAAATGTTGCATTCATGTATCTTGTTTGTCATGATTTACCACTTAATTAGAAACATCTGTAAAGCAAGTCAATAGAACAAATAAATCCTTGCTTCGTGAATCTTACAAAGCTTTATTTTATGGACTGAGGACTGTCAGAGATGTGCGGATGAGACTCTGTGATAAGGTTAAGGTTGAACTAGAGTACATCATGAGGGAGCTTTCTAAAAAGATAAGGAAAGTGTTAGTGATTACAATTAAATATGTTACAAAATAACTTTAAAATTGGTGATTCTGACTAAAAACATTGTGTCTATGACTAGTGGTGATGAAGCCCCCATTGCGTACATCTGGACTGAAGGTATTTCAAGTTGTTCAAGCAGGCACTGGATTGTTTATAGCCTCAACTCATCTTTATTTATATAGCACCTTTCATCCAAACAAGCAGCTCAAAGTGCTTCACATGACAAACTGAAACACATAAGAACAAAATGAATACAATAAAATGTAAAAAATAAAAATGCATACAAGGGATATAAATAATGTTTAAACATATGATTCAAGGCTATAACATTGCTCCAAAGTAAAAGCCAGATTAAAAAGATAGGTGTTTAATTTCCTTTTTAGAAATACTGAGAGAACTCACCATTCTAATATCCAGAGGCAGTGAGTTCCACAGTTTAGGAGCATAAAAACAAAAGGCACTCTCACTGGTACTTTTATGGGAAACATGAGGGACATTTAAAAGAAAATCTGCTATGTTTTAAACATTAACTGTCAAAAGGAGACAAATAAGTGTGAATATCATGGCAAATATGTGAGAAATATTGATAAAAATCAAACAAAAACAAACAAACTCCAAAAGGGGGAAACTGTCTGGCTCTCCAATGTATGTGCATTGAGTTGTGTTTTAATGCGTGACACATGTGTAAGTCCTGTTCTCTAAGACCATTCAGTGGCTTCCCCAGAAGATGCTTATGCCTTAATCATGTTTCTTCACCTTCTTCACGTTGTTGTCCATTCATTTGTCTCTGTGTTTTTGGTTTCAGGTGAGAAAGCTGAAGGGCTCTGATGAACACTTGAGTGTGGAAAGAGCAGGAGGAGGCCAGGAGGTGCTGGTGAGTCAACACACACACGCACACACACACATCCCTCCTATACTTCACAAACACAGTTTCACCTTTTTAAACATTAGAGAGGACAAGGAGCAGTCACTTTCTTTCTCATGCGTACTACTCCTTCGAGTAAAAACTTCTCTTTCAAGTGTCTTTTTCAACAATTAAATACTGCAGCCTCCTTCAACATGTAGCTCCTCACAACTTCAAACTGCTGCACAGCTGGAGCAAGAGGAAAGTCCAATTACTCTGCTCAGCCGTGATGAGAAAAGCAATCAAAAGATGAGAGAAAATTGGATAAGCAAGGAAAAGTGGACAGTGGAGGACAGTCTGTCTCTCTTTTTTTTCCCCCTACTGCCTCGCGGAGCTAAGCGGGCGTTTTGTTCCTGTTCGTTGACTGCGGGGCAGCAGCTGTTATTACTGTACCCACTGCTGTGGTCTAATCCTTCCCTGAGCTGCACTGAGTCTGCCTCTCAGATCGTTATCGTAGCCACTCTGTCGATGAGGCAGCCAGCGGTGGAGACTCGGCTACATCGCTGATAACCGACGTCTTTAGCAGAAGCAGTGTAGCAGGATTCATTTATTAGAAAAAACGGCAGGGTTTCATTTTCCTCATCAGACTTTATAAGAAACTGAATAAAAGAGTGAGATACATTTTGTGCTGTTGATAGATACAGACTCAATACCTTTTTCAAACTTGGCTTAGGGAGACTTTTAAAATTGTAAAATCGGATCACAAACTGTAACACATGGAGCAGAATCAACACCTTTCTGACACAGCAGAACATTTGAAGCTTTAATATCTGTTCTGGAGCGTTTGATCATATCCCATGATTTTCATCAGCGGATGGAGTTTACAGATAGATTTACAAATCATGTTTTGCTCAGGTGTGATCTTTCTGTTTATCCTGCCAACACACAAATAAGCCTTGATATGAGTAAGACAATAGCTAGGTTTCCATTCAAATGTGGTGCAGATTTTAATAGAATTTCCAGGAAATTGACTGAAGAAAATGCGAATAATGTGGGTTTCCATCCATTACTGTTATGTGACTATTAGTAGTTGGTTCATTGAGAAGTCGGGTGCCATTAAACCATTGCAGAAGAAGAGGCAACGAGATGGTGTATTAAAAGAGTAGCATTCAAACCTGAAATGATGGAAAATAGTAGCATTTATGTTTGTATCATGTATTTGTAAAATGTTACAGGTTAAAATGTGTTTGTGCACAAAAAATATCTGATTGATAAAAGTGCATACACACACCTGCAGGCAATTTTCCCTTTATGAATCATAGTCCAACTGCCTCATATCCAGCCCTCTACACGCCCACATGTACAGTTATAAATGAGACCCCTGATGTCTTTGTCTCCAGTGGATGCTGAAAGGTCCAGTGTGTAACATTTATGAGGATCTACTGGCCGAAACGTAAAATAATATTCATAGGTGTTCATTAATGTATAATCACCTCAAAATAAGAATCGTTGTGTTAGAACTGGTGACGGTTGCGACTATGTGGCCATGTTAAATGTGCTGTAACCACTGAGCTACCAAGGCGCTCTGGAATTGTCCTTTTAAAACAAGATACGGTCCAGTTTAGCTGTTTAGAGCCGTGGTGGTGATAGTAGCAGGTGAAACATAACTTCAACATAACTACACCACAGGTATCCATGGCAGGACTCCAGTTCAACATGTTCAAGGTTAAAGTGTGAATATCTACATTAACATCTGGGCCAACTCCACTAGCTGCTCTTCTTTGTGGCGTCACAGTATCTTGTATGTCTCACAGATGCTTGTTAATGTACTATACTTGTTGAGTGTTTGTTTTAGAAGCTTTAATATTGGCCATTAGAACAACAAGGTACAGTAAATCATTTGTAACTACAGCAATTACATTACTAAATGAGAGATAGTTGTGCACTTATATTATTAGGTTAGGTATTTATAACACAGTTTATATTGTGTATGATTCACATTTTATATCACTAGCATTGCTGTGTGTGTGTGTGTGTCTCTGTGTGTGTGTCTCTGTGTCTGTGTGTTAGTTAAAAAAACCACACAGCGACACCAAACCTGCACTGAGACATGTATGACCACAGGGATTGTGGTACAGTGTTTACCTTATCCTTGAAATCACGTGATATGACTGAAAACTCCAGCTACCTGGAGGTGAGATGGTTTTGTAGGCTGCTGTTTCCTAGACCATGAACGTTTAAACTCAATTAAACAATCTAAGACTGCTGTATTTCACCATGTTCCTTTTTTTTAATATATCTTTATTTTAATAACTCCGCACTGGTGTGGTTTTCATTTCCAGCACCTGCTTTGTGACTGTCCAATAAAGCAATAACTCTTTATGAGCAGACACTCTTATCTCTCTGGCTGGAGCTTTCTGTAGAGAGTTTGACCTTGTTCATTGCAGCGCCACCAACCTATCAGAGGCAGTTTTTTGTCCAACCACAGCTGACAAATACAGAGAGTTGGTTACAGTGGTTCTTATTAAGGTCGCAGCTTTGAAAGTCTAATTTTAGTTGTCCTGGTTTCAGGTATATAAAGTAAAAACACAAAGATAAGAGATGTTGGGCAAATGAAATAAGTCTTAATTTACATTCTCTTCTATTTCCACTATTAATTTATACATATACTATTTTATTTAGAGTTTTTTTGTGGGTGGTGGGTTCATTATTCTAATTTGATTACTTTTGGGTAAATGGGTAAAGTATTGTTATTTTATATATTTTGTGGGCAGCAAAACATAGACAAGTCCTACCCATTTAAGATACAAATCCTGGGTGAGAATTTAAAATCATCCTTTTCTTTTCTCTAATAAAAATATACTACTACCACTACTACTACTACTATATAAATAGACTTCCATATACACTGATGTCACATGCAGGTGTGTCAGACAGTAGTGTGGTTTTAGAGCTCGCTGCAGGTGGGGATACATGGCTGCTCAGTCAGGCAGTGAGAAAAGCTGCAGGTTATCAAGCTGATTAGCAAAACGCACAAGCACACACGCACACCTCCTGACAGGAAGGGCACAGAGAGTCAAACGGTGGACTTTGAGTTGGTAATGTTGTTTACTGTCTGTCCTGCTCCTGCCTCCTGGTGTGTTTGTCTGTTCTGGGTTTTAAACTAATTTTGGCTACAGTAGGAATATCTTTTATATGTTGAAATAAGGTTAAAAAGAAAGAAATTCACTTAAAATAGGGAAAAATTTAGCCAACAATACTGTTTCCCAAGCTTTTCCCAATAACAGACTTAGAAATCTGAAAAAGAAATCTTATTTACTATTGGCGAAAGTATTTTCAGTTGATAATTCTATAAAAATATCTTTGTAAAGGTAATTAAAAACTACTTTCATACCCTCCAACTAAGGTTATTTCTGAATAGCTAATTATGTGTAATTGTCGTTTCTCCCTGTAGTGTAGAAAATGACAGGTCAGCAGCTGACCGTTGTACCGTCTACCCACGCTGCCTCACACAGGGCCAAGTCCGCCCACGGTCGAGTGACAGCAGAGCACCTGTGAAGCAGCAAGCATCAGGACTTTTTATGCCCCTGAGCTGAGTCTGTCAGGCACATCCTGTCCTTTTATGTAAGATGAGAAGACTGGAGTCCCGATCATGGCACTAAATTTACCATGGGTGCGATCTATAGTATAAATCTATAGTTTTATTTGCATTGTAAGGGTATACATCAGAGCCATGGAGTGTGTCTATAGTGTCTGTATGGTATTCTTACTTAATCAAAGCGGCAAAAATGTAAAAAAATTATCATTATTACAATATTTTTCATGTACTTTTTGAGGTGTTTAATTGCACACCGCTCTGTGTTAGTGTGGTGGGTGATGGTGACCCAACATAAAGCTGAAGGTCACAAGATTACTGCAGAAATCTTCTTACAAGTAATTTTTGTCCAGTTCTTAAAGGTCCAGTGTGTAACATTTAGGAGTATCTATTGTCAGAAATGGAATATAATCTTTATTGGTATATTTTCATTAGTGTATAATCTAAAAAATTAAGAATCGTTGTGTTTTCGTTACCTTAGATGTTTTTTAATCTACAGATGCCTCTAAAAAAACAAGTGAAGTACAGTTGGAGTCTTTTCTTCTCTTCCTATCTTTCAATGACAGTTTGTTTCAAGAATTTCCATAAACCAAGTTTTATTCCAGCCTGTCTTCTTCACTAATTAAAAATAATAATAATTTTGAAACCAGTTAATGTCTATTGGCAACAGATTGAAATTCTCTATGTATTCGCAATGCAGAAATGCAAAATGATGTTTATTGCACATCTTCAGGCCTCCCTTAAAATTCTTTTAAATAAATCAATATGAGAAAGAAAACTGTTCACAGGTCATGTCCAGACCGAGGCCAGGAGTCACAAGTAGACATTGATTCATTTTAAGGCAACAACCCCTATACTCAGTGTATTCCTCACACCTGCGATCCTCTTCCTTCATCTCCTCCCTCTTCTTTTCCTCTTTGAATTTTCTTGGTCTGACATCTTCTTCCTGTTCCACTTTATTGAAATGCTCAGGGCTCTGTGCCAGTTGTGGAGCTCAAAACCTTGGCGTCTCTATCTGTTCGCACTTCTGAAATACTGTTCCTTTTCTGCTTACTCACGGCTCGTGGCTTAGCCTTGCACAATACAACAATGTTCTCTCCTGTAAGCTGATTATTTTCTATTAAAATGATTACACAAGAACCTACCTACTATACTGTAACTGCTATTTAGTGTTTGGATGCCACTAATCACAAGGAAAATGTTCTTACAGTTATATTAATATTTCTTTTTGTAAAAAATGTGCACAAGCAAGTATCTCCTAATCATGTATGTGACATTATGTTACAACGCCATGTTACTTGAGTTCCTTCGTTACTGCATACTGAAGGCTGGTTGTTTCCCTCTCAGTGAGCAGCGTTCTGGGGTGGAAGTTGTTTATTTGATCTATTTTATTTTCACTGCTGCAGTGACCAGACCTCTGTGCTCTTCTGAGGGATAAATCTCTGGTGCCTTGTCCGGCTGCTCTGCTGTAAACTAATGGAGAGTAAAGACAGAAGAGAGAGATACTGTTCTGACATCGCTGCCTGTGTGAGCACTGAGGTCAGCGAACTGAAGAGACAACAGTCACAGAGGGGAAGCCAAGGAGGCATCAAAATGAAGAATGTGATGTGACTTTAGCTACGGTGCAGAGAAAACAAGGGAAAAAAGGAATGACTACCTTTTTTATAAGGCACAGTAGAACTTCGTAAACCTGGTGGTGGCACCTGCTGTAGTCAAATTCAGTTTTTTAGTTAATTGGAGGGCAAATTATTGGGTTCTCTGGGAATCTAAATTTAGTTTTGTCTTGAATGTTACACAATCTCGTCTAGTCGCACTGGTGTAAACTGGCATGTTTTAGAACAATGCAGACCACAATAATTTGCAAGTTTCTCAACTTGCAAAATCATCCCCTTGTGGAAACTTGACACAAACAAGAACACCTCAAGGCCCCCCTTTCCAAAATATTTCTTCCAGTGCTTCCCTGAACGCCCCCCCTGGAGGGCAGTACTCTCCCCACTTATATATACTAAAGAAAAGGAGATGGTTAAAGTTCAAGAGATGTCTGAATAAAAGAGTGCCACCATCCTGGATTGGCCAAAATTGGGTTACCACAGATTGCATTGGCTGCTGTTCTCCTCTGCATTAGCAGGCAAGCCAAAGAACCCCATAAACATTAAAGGCTCTTTTTTTCAATACAAATCTAATATTGAACCTTTTTGTGGTTTATTTGATTTGGGGAATTGCACTGGAATTCCTTTATTGAAACTTTTCTTTTAACAAGATAGTTTTAGAGAGCATGCTCTTCCTTTACATTATCATGCTCCTTTCACATTTAAATTCCCACTCTCTTCCTTTCTGTGTCACCCCCTGCTTCCCCCCAGGGCTCCTCATCCTCTGGTCGGACCCGTAGCTTCTCCCTCCTCCCCCACCTAACCCCATCTTCATCCCCGGGTTCTCAGAGGCACCTGAGCCACACGGCCTCACCCAGCAACATCGTCACCATCACCCACCACAAATCCCCGGGTGCAGCTCGGCGGGCCAAGAGTCAGTACCAAGGACGACTGCTGGAGGTCAAAGAGGTGGGTGTCACAGGCATGGCAACATTTCAGCGCTTGGCCTCGAGACTTGAAATTCAAAGCAGACACGTGGGCGTAGAGTTTTATGTTTTTGTCTTTTTAAATCGATTGCACAGAAAGGGAGAAAGCAGGTGGAGGTGGATTAGCCAAGATAACATGAAAGGATAATTCAGTTTTATTAAAACTTGGGTCTCATTTTTTTGTTTTTTTCATCATTTCTATGAGTTATGATAACACTGTACTTGCCAAATTCATTGCTGAGATCTGGGAACATTACAATGTTGCGTGGTCCAACTGGGCGAAAACATGTGCAGGTTATAAACAGTTCTAAACCACCTGAAATGTTGTTTAAAAACTGCACACAGCTAAGGCAAGTGTGGTAGATGAAGATCAAGGGAAGGGTCATGTGAATAATGAGTGTAGGCAAGCTAATCTGCTGGAATGTTTACTGCCAGCTGTGCGAACTACAATGTCATTTTATATCCTGTAGCCCAGACTGGCTGCTGGTGTGGCGTTACGCATCTTTTATTAAAGTACAAATTGATTGTGTTCTTCCAGCTAGACTTTCTGAACAATTGGTGTGAGGTGGAAGTCTTCTTGCTGACAGACCCACATCATATAATAATTTGTATTCCGAAAGGAGGCTGGCTTGCTGATTCTCTTGTCATTTTTACATTGAACCATTTTTGCATTGATGACATTCAAATCACAGTGAAAAGGTGCTTTATTTGTCAAAACTAAATCAGGTGAAAGAATAAAAAAGGCACATTACTAAATTTTTCCCTTCACTGTAGAAGTTTTCTAGGACAGTTATCTGCTGCTGCTTCTATTGTGGATTCTGGGTTGCCCTTTCTGATCATTTGGACCAAACTCCAAAAGCTACAAAGTATTTTGTGTGGCCTCTGCACTGGTCTCAGGTGGGACACTGGTGCAGTGAGTTCAGCAGATATTTCTGGCTTCCTGGCAGGCTTGACGCCTACTGCAGTGTGCTCAGTCTTTACTGTAAGTTCAGCTTTGTTGGCATTTTTATGGTATATATCAATACTGATTAACATGGCCGGTGACAGAGGGAAGAACGTATGCCAGGGTCAGCGTGGTGCGTGTGTGCAGTAATCAACATATGAGACGTAAAAGTGTCAGTGTGTGCAAAGAAGATAAATAGGGAAGCAGCGGGCTCGTCCATATGGAACATTAAATATTCCTGACCTTGTTGTCCTGCTAATCCCTGAATGTATACATTTAAATAGTTCTTGCCACTATTTCCGTAAGAGTTTAAACTTACAGACCTGCAAGCACATCCTGAGTTAATTACATTACATCCCTCCACTTGAAATTTCCAATCAGTTTTTGAAGTTCAAATCCTCATTAATTCTCTCTGCCTCAGTCACCAGACCTGTCAGTTCTGGTTACCGCTCCGTCCTCATCTGCTACATCTCCATACACTCAGCACAGTCATTCAGTTCTCTGCTTATCTTTCAAAAGAAGATTGTTTTTTTTCCTGTCTCTTCTTAATAGCCTGTCTGCAGTTGGTTTTTAGTGATTAATTGCAAGAGATTAGGCCCGAAGTTGAGTTTGCAAAGCAAAAATGATAGTCATGATGAAGACATGATTGTATACCTTGCTGGCAAACTATAGAGCCATTAGCGGCAGCATTTTTGCTTTCACCCTTTTGTTTAGAGATGGAATGTGCTTTTCGGATCGTTGCCAGGCAGCTGTGCATCTGGCCGCTGAATTATGGAGATAGGATGACCTAGCAGTTTGGAAGAAAGACGAAAGATGGACAAGGAGAGACAAGAGGCTTTCTAAATGTAAAACACTGCTGCCCATGTAAACAGTTGGTACAGAGGAGAAAAATAGAACCTGACAGGGAAGAGTTCATGTCTGCCATCATGGAAAAATGTTTGCTCCCCGCAAAACGCTTCCTGACGTGTTTTACACGCAGCAGAATATTTTTTGTGAAAGAACAAACCCACAGAGAACTATCAGCTCTCTGCATCGTTTCTGTGTCTTCCAGCTCACTGTTTTGGTTTTACGGCATGCAGCCTCATCATTGACGTTTCCAGCAGCAGCAGCAGCAGGCAGTAAAAAAAGCTCTCGGATGCTCTGCACTACCTGCTTAACACCAAACAACAGACAGACAATGTTAGCAACTAGCTCATAGTGAAGCATTTAGCAGCTAAAGAGACAATTATTTCCCTCAGGAGTTGGTGGAGACCAAAAATTTTGCTTAAAGGAGAGTGAATATTACATATTCATTAGGTCACAAAGGACACAAACAAGACTCCAAATGAATGCAAATATTGCTCTGTGTCTATACCACCTGTGGATCAGTGGAATAATGTGAGACCATTTGCAAAAAAATGTGTTGCGTCACCCACATTTGCATCCATGAGACAAACAAAACAGTGACCTGCTCATAAATAAATATCTCTATAGAGGTCAGGTATTAAATTGCTTATTTTGTCTGACAAACAGTCCCAAACAGTACAGAAAATATATAGATATCCATGTTACAATTATATAAAATGGAGAAAATCAGCACATCCTTACATTTGAAAAGCTGGAACCAGTGACTGTTTGGCATCTTGCTGGATAAATGACACATTTTCTGTCTATTCACTATTGTTTCAGCACTAATACATACACTGTTTGACCTCCAGAATAACAAAGACAACTCATTTACTGTCTGTCTTAAACAGAGACAATGTGGCTTTGTAAGGTGTATGCCAAACTGGACGTTCGAATACACCACAGGAAGAAAAATCACTGCTTGCAATTGAAATCTCACAGTAGGATTTGAGCACCTTGTATCGCTGTGTCTCCTCTCCTCAAACTGAAACAGTAGGGAGTAAACTGCAGGACCATTAGCTAAACTGTGTATTAAAAACTTGGCATTTACCTCAACGGTTCATCCAGTTCCCTCCGCTTGTGATTCTGATGACACTTTTGGAAGGAGCATCAATATTTCATGTAAAGATCTTTCTTTCCATTGAAGACCTGACTGGCTTAGAGTTGTTAAATTCCCCATTCAGACGCGCCACGCTGTGTGTCTTCCTCATCTTGCTAAGAATATCTCGTCTAAGTGATTCACTCTGTGACAGAAAGAGAGCAACTCGCGATCAGTGTGAGTGGAGAATCATTTCTCACCTCTCAGGAGCAGAGTCTCTCTCCTCAAGTGAACCGGGGACAGTTTGAGTAAATACAGAGCAGATGGTGTGATCATTAAGCAAAACAAACACTCTTTTGGTGCGTATGTTTTCTCTACAGATGGAGGAAACAAGGCCCTCTGTGATGAGTGATTCATTTTTCTCTTCTGCGTCACATTCTTTTGGTCCAGAGGAATTGGGTTGCTGCTTCCTGTGACCTGATTCATATCTGCCATCATTTAGCTTCTCTCGGCGTCTCTCTTCCCGTCCACTATTCCTTCTCAGCCTCCAACCGCCTTCCCTCCCTCCTCATGTCATTTGTTGTTCTCCTTCCTTTATTCATTACAGGCCCATAAACTTGTCTGACAGGTTTGGCACAGGGCTGGAGGATGCTGGAGTTGACAGTAAAGGAGTCTGCTTGCGCTGTGATTTATGCACCACTGTATGCAGCAGAGACCAGAAAGCTGCTGCATGCTGATTATCAGTGGATTTATGGTCTAACAGCGGCATCTGGGATGTTGTGTTGTACATCCCATATATCTTACGGTCACTATCACCGATAATATTCATAAACATTAATCTGTTACTTCCCGGAAGACATCTCCAACCCAGCCACATAACTTTTCAAACCGTCATGGAGGGAAATCGGTCTTTGCACCTCAGTAAACTCGCCACATGATCTGCCTCCTCGGCTCTGCCCTGTTGATCCCTGTCTCACCAGAACTCACTGAACCATCCTCACACCAGGCAACAGTTGTGTGAGCCCAGCAACAGCACATAGTCGGGGGTTCTACCAATGTGTGATTGTTGTTGTGTAACAGGATTAAAGGGTCCACCACTCACCTGGCTCAAAGGTCTGTGTTTGTCTGCTAAATGTCCATATGTTTCAAAACTCCATGCTCAGACTCCCAAACATGCAGTGGTTTATAACACTATAACAGGATATTACAGTACTTTTGCAAAATACAATTTTTATCTTCCATTTTGTGGTTAGGGTGAGACAGTTACCCTTTTGTGGCAGAAGTTGAGCCAGGATCTACTTTTTTGCAGTATTTTTCAGAGGCTGTTTTTTCACGGTCTATTGCCTTATTAAAATAATACTCTGTTAATCTCATGTTGGATGGATGGTAGAGATTATATATGACATGTATTGTGTGCTTAAAAGTCCAGTGTGTAACATTTAGGAGGATCTATTGGTGGAAATGGAATATAATATTCATAGGTATGTTTTCATTAGTGTATAATCACCTGAAAATGAGAATCGTGGTTTTGTTACCTTCGAATGAGACGTTTTTATCTACATGCATCGGGTCGCCTTCTGTGGTGGCTACCATTTTGAACCGCCATGTTTCTACAGTAGCCCAGAAGGGACAAACCAAATACTGGCTCTAGATAGGACTGTTTGCGCTTTCTTTGGTGTGTTTTGCGGCTACTGTAGTTTCGTGCTTGCACTTGGAAAGGGAGTGAGTGAGTGAGTAGCAAACTTAACCACTATGTGCATATGTTGTGTATCTACATATACAAAATATATGCTGTACCAAACTGCCATATACCCATAGTATGTATAAAGATATCTAACATGACAGACAAATATTTTTAATATTTAAATAAAACTTTATTCTTTTACATATGATTAGATTTAGAGTTTTTCATTTTTTTTTACTTAAGCAAAACCTTCAGGTTGTAAAATTTTTACAAAATAAATAAACAGCATCTGACTGATATCTCTGAAAGGTAACACCAAATTACCAATATGTTGCAGAGGTCTTGTGCTGAATGTTCAGGCCATTGTCCCGCTGTCACCTCCCAATCCATCTGTCCATCCATGCATGCATCTGTCTTTGCTCTGAATGTGTGGCGCTGGGAGTCAGACCACATTACCGTCTCTCCTCAGCCAGCTTGTCACGGCTGATGTGAACTCATCAAACGCCTCGACTCTCAGTGCAGCAGCACCACTGGGCACTTACACTGCTGCAGCAGAGCTGGATCACTGGGGTTAGGCTATTTCTGGAAGCATCACTGGTCCTGTTGGCTCCAGAGGGGGGTGGGTGGTGTGTGTGTGTGTGTGTGTGTGTGTGTGTGTGTGTGTGTGTGTGTGTGTGTGTGTGTGTGTGTGTGTGTGATTGTGTGTGATTGTGTGTGATTGTGTGTGATTGTGTGTGATTGTGTGTGTGTGTGTGTGTGTGTGTGTGTGTGTGTGTGGTAGGGGAGCAGCCATTACTGAAAGCCTACTGACTTAGCTTTGTAGCAGAAGTCTGCTGCAATTTTAGGTTCCTTTTATGTGCAACTGTGTAATCTGCTTATAAACCAAACAAAGAAATATGGAATATGAATACACATACAGAGAGCAACATTAACCACTGAAGCTTTTATATATATACCATTTTATGAGCTAGTTTCTGTTGCAAAAAGATTTGTTTTTTTTATATGAAACATTCATATTGGATGTGTTTTTCTGTGTCTCTTTTGAATGATTTGAATGTGGCCCTGGTACCTTATTGGTGACCCCTGACGCCCACACAAGGCCATGTTGTATTTATGGAGTTCACCGGCTGACAGTTTTACAATAAGGACCCTTAAAAAGGCTGTGTGTGTGTCCTCATTCAGGCAGGTATTCTGAGAGATACCTTATTTTATAGATGGCTTTCACTCTTTTTTCCCAAATTTTTTCCTTTAAATTGCTAATTTATCTCTTTATTCTCTATATTTGTGTCTTTCTTGGCACAAGGGTAATAATCCTCTCTACGTGGGTTTTTCATGTTTGTGTAAATATTATTATAAATATTATATTATGTCAAGGTTTGCTTACATCAAGAAAGGTGGCTGCATTTGAGCACCATACAACTTAGTGAGCTGTGTTATTTTACAGCATGGTATGGGTTATTTAGAGTTACTTGAGGTTGTATAGCACATTGCCTCCTGCTAAAGGCCCCTTAAGTGACTATAGACCCCGACTTCTGATTTAATTAGTGCACTACAGATTCAATTATACCTCTCTAAATCTCTATCTTTTCTGCCAACATGCATGTACTATGCATAAAAGTGAGGATCTTGACAGTTTTGCAGCTTTGTTTCAAACCCAAAATGTAACTATTTAGTATGAAACACTCATCCTGTAGACATAACAGGTGGTTGTAAAAAGTACTGTGGTTTGTATCTTTGCTAAAATTATGGTTAGCTTGGATTCACGACAGATGCATTAATAAAAAGTAGAGACTGGTGAAACGGTTCATTTCAGCTCGGCTCAGGCTTTATGACCTTTATAAAGTGCAGTAAAATTGTGTCTGTCACAATTTTCACAGAAACATCTGTCTTGAGGGTTATAGGTGTAAAAAAATAAAATACCGGTGTGAAATGAAACAGCAAGTCCTAAGTTATTTGAAGGGCACTGTAAAAATGATATGTGCTGAACACTAACAATCTATTTATAAAAAGCATTGGAGACAAAAATTTGAGCTCCATCTGCCTGAGGACCCGGGTAAATAGCTGAATAATTGGACAAGTTCTGCTCTCAAAAATAAAAAAAACTCCTTTACATGAACGCCTATGCCACATATAACCCCACCACAACAGCTCTAAGTGACTCCAAAATAGCTCTGTGTACTGATGCAGGGAGACAGATGTGCTATTGAAGTACGGGTGGAGGACGAGTGTGTGTGAAGCCATACAATATTAATGAATACAACATTTCCAGGCTGATAAACAACCCAGATTCATTAGCCCCGAGAGAAGCTTATTACCCGCTAGCGAGAACCGACTTCTTCCTTTTTGTGATACATTTAGACTGTGATAGGTGAGTCACACAGAAATAATTCTCTGTAAGAAATGTTCTGTGTGTCTGTGGGAGCATGGGGGAGAACTTTTCTTGTTTGAAGAGTTTTTGCAGTTTTTTTTTTTTTGGCTCTGCCGTCTTGGAGCAGATGGTTGTGTGGATCAGGTGTTGCCTGTAGTCAAGACTGTGGTGACACCACTAGAATTAATCCTAAGTTGTATCACTTCCTACGCACAAGTAAGAAAGTATAGATATGTGAGATGGTGGAAGATATAGTGTCACATTTCTGCCTCTAACTCCTCTTATTGTCATCTCACAGTCAAGGACTTGATCTTACCACAGTGAAACGTCAGACTTACTACTAATTAGGTCTGCAATTCATGAGTCAATAGTGAAAGTAGACATTAGGGATGAAGCTGGAGTTATCTTATGCTGCTGAATTCCCTACCTCGTCTGTGTCTCTCAGCCCAAAACACATGGGTTCCTACTGAAGACATAAATATTTAAAAACACCCGCTGTGATCTGCAGCTTCAACATCTGAAAAGCCCAAATAATTTCCAAAAACAGTTAGGCACTGTAGTTTTTAGCTAAATGTACTCAAAGAGGAGTAAATGGTGCATTTGTTGGGCACTTTTTCCCAGCTATTTATTAACACACATTTAGGGCACTACTGTATTTATGATGTGGGAGGAATGAATATGAAGGAATATGTCACTAAATGCAACAGTGTGGCTCATTGATGTGTTTAATAGCTTCTGGACAATTACATAATCAAACATGGACACATAAATACAATAGCAAACATCAGGAAAGAGTAGCAACATGTGTGTATTTAATTTATTTCCTGCCAGTGGCAGTTAAAGAGGGCTGTTCCTTTAGTTTGTTCTACATTAAATTATATACTGCAACCAGGATTGTTCTTGATGTTGCATTGTGGATTAAAATATTGTCTGCTGAGGCTGGCTGAGAGATGCAGTTACAGGATGTCTCTTCTAGCATACATCTATACCCACGTTACTACCCACTAAGTACCTGATACCACATATTATGTGAAAAAATCTGATATATCTCTTTACATCTGTGGCTCATTGGTAATTTAAGTAATGTGTCTGTTGATTATGTATCTTAAATGTTGACTATGTACATCACTTTTGTCCACCAGGTGATGTCCCAAGCAGAGGGCCAACAGAAGAACCTGGTCCAGTCCATTGACTCTCTACCTACCAGAGGCCCTCTCTCCTGTCTGGACCAGGACCTGCTGCTGCTCAAAGCCACGTCGGCCGCCACACTCAGCTGCCTGGGAGAGTGCCTGAACATCCTCCAACAGACCCAGAGCCACAGCCAGGCACCACCTCAATCCCAGACCTCAGAGCGCAATCACGCTGCCCACGGAGCCCCCTCCGGTGAGTCTGCCCCGGGCCCCGTTCCAGTGCTGCTACTGGAGCCCCCGACCCCTCCATCTCCCCCATCCCCCTTGTCTTTCCAGTCCCCTCCTCCAGAGCCCAACATCAGCGGCAAGGTCCAGCTTGGGCAGCTGGACTGTGGCTCTTGTCCCTGCCTGATGAGTACCATGAACTTCAATGTTTGTAGTAATTGTTGTTGAATGTTACATTTTAATGTTTAAATTGTTTGTTTTGTTCCATTTATGTTTTTTGTCATAGTTTGTAGTTGTTAGTGTTGTTCTGTGTTGTTTCATATTCATTACTGTGTCTCTTCAATGTCGTCAATTGCATTGAAATGCCAATAGTTCCTTATAATGGTAGTGCCAAGTACAAGCTTGAATGTGAAGTGTGTATGAACATGAATTTGTTGTCAATCTTGTTTACAGAATCCTTGAAAGGCTTGCAGACTGTCTCCAAACATGCATGTCAGAAAAAAAAAATCAGGGTTTATGTGTGAATGAGTAAACCTAAATATAATGACTAATACTATGCACTTCTAAATCTCCTCGAAGGATTAAGTCTTTGCCAAAGGAATCCACACTGGTGCCTAAAATGTCAGACCTCTGCCATGTTTAACCCTCTCTGTGCCAGATCACTATGGATCCAATAAAGTTGTTTCAATTTAAACCATTTGCAGCCTGAGGGTGGTTCTATTGGAATAACACCGAAGATTAGGATTAGGTTCCTAAAGGTGGAAGGTAGACCCCAAATACCGTACAAGAATAGACTTAAGATAATGTGAAAGCCATCAGACGTTGTGGACTAATCCTATTTTCCAAAGTAGATTTAATATTCATAATCTATTTACAGTCAAGTTACTATAAAACAACAGCAGTGTTTTCTCCAGGAAAGAGGAGATGATATAAAGTAATACTGATACATTGAAAATCTATCTACCAAACACTAACTGCCTGTAGGCTTGAAAGGTGTGGAAGATGGCAGATGTAGTTTGGATTCACAGCAGTTCCAGTTGATCCCAATGGCCACCAATAAGTTAAGGCAAGAAATATGTCATTTTGCCCATAGAAGTTTCTCAGACACCTGCAGCACAATCCACTTGGCTCATGGTCCATTTAGTTGCTGTTCTGGACGTTTTCATGGAGACATAGATGTTCAAAATAGTTGTACTAAATGGCTAATAAAGTGCTAAATGTGCTACTTCAGTGTCACACTGTTGCCTCTTCGTAGTTCCAAAGCCCAAAGTAGTGAAATTAACTACCGGTATTTACTGGCATAAGGAAAATTGTTTGAAGTATATCAGACAAGTGGATTATGCTGTAGGAGTTGTTTGGGATATCTCTGTGGATGTTTTTGATGCTGTTTCATAAGTTTAATAACCGAAAGGATTAAATCACAGATACAAGCAGCAGAAATGAGTTTCCTTTGCAAGGTGGCTGGGCTCACCCTAAAGGTGTGTTAAGACAGAAAGCAAGGCGAATTTGACTGCTGTCTTACAGTCTGTGTTGATTCACCCTAAACAGCCAATGTACTAACTGTGCAGATGTTAGCTGTAAGCTCACCGTGTGTTTGGGAGCGTGCCTGTATGTGTGTCATAGCTTAGCCACTCACTGATCCTAGACCTCACCAGAAAGTTATTTCTGATATTTCCTTCCAGTGTATCTCCTTTTTCTTCTCTGGGCTGTTGGTTTAGGAAGCAGACTAGTAATTCCTTGGGATAACGGTGGATGCCTCTTTTCCTCAGATTGTGCTGCCCCATGTTAATTGTGTCTGTTCTCGCCCGCTCTGGTCTTTCCTTTGACTTTATATGCATCCATGCTGTCTCTAAAATTCACCTTGCTTTTTGTTTGAACACACCTTTAGAGATAGAGTGAGGAGGTCAAACATCCTCAAGGCTCCTTGAGGTCGTTCAGGAATCTTAATGCCTCCTAGACACCTCTCTGTGGAGGTATTCCAGGGGCAAGGAACTGGGAGGATAACCTGGGGCAGACCCAGGAGATGCTGAAGGGATGTCATGTTCCTTCAAGCTAGGAAACCCTTCGGGATCCCCCAGGAAAGGTGGAGGACAAGGCCAGGGAGAAGGATGTATGGGCTACCTTGATTAACCTGCTCCCAACCCATCCCATCCCAAACCTGGATAAGCAGGGGAAAATGGATGGATGGTTTTGACGTATGTTTTTGTCGTGACTTCTTGGTCCCCGTTGGAATCCATTGTAACTGCTGTGAATCCAAACCGCTGCCATCTTTTAAGCCCTACAGGTTTTTGGTGGAGTATTTAAGCCAAGAAGTTTTGGTCCACCTCCATCTATGACTTTGGGAAGGTCTTTCGGGGTCTGGGTTTGGGTGGATGCCGGATCCCAGCCAATCTGCCGGTCCTCACAGTATTTTGGTCTTCTCTTTGCGCCAACAGTCACCCTACCCTGTACCTGTTCATCAGACAGGGGGTGGTGTGGAGTGGGACCACCGGGCCGCAAGTACAACCCTCTTTCCTTCCGCTGCCTGGCTGATAAGTCCTGTGGGGGTCCAGCTGCTCCCCGCTTCCGGCATGTACCCCCCACACCTCAGTGAGGAGTTTTTTGTTAGGATCCTCGGTTTTGCTGAGTGATGGGTAGTGTGGCTCACCGGCATGGGCAGCATCCAGATTTAAAGCAGCTGATAAAGGGAGTGGCTGGCTGGTCGGTTGGTTGGTTGGTTTAATGGTTTTGTTACGCCCACACATGAAAGCTTTGCCACTGCATGGGCAAGATAACTCTTTGGTAGAGAGCCAAGCATGAGGTTGGACTTAGTTTGGCCGGCACGTTAGTCCCTCCAGGCTCCTATTACTACAAAACCAGAGCAGCTTGTTTGAGTCCGCTCTATTACGTCAAGAAACCTGAAGGATCTTTGTAAACTCCCACCAAAAACCTGCCAGTCACAAACCAGACAGCATATTATCAGCTGATGTCACGGAGGATCTTTGCTGCTCGCTCTAGCTCTTTCTGGATCCCCCCCTCCCTCCCTTCTGTCACTGCCATAAAGAGCTTGATGCCCAACCTTCTGTCTCTATCACGCAGAACATTTTCCTTTAAGGAAATTAAAGTCCCTAAAGGAAATTTACTTTGCAAACTAGTCCCCTTGCAGCTTAACATATACAGAAACAGAACATTTTTAAATAGAAAATAAAAGGGACAAAAGAAACATGTAGGGTAAGAGTTAGATATGAAAGCATCACAAAATCTGAAGTTATGTCACAGCCCAGAAATGGAAGGTAAAGCCATTGGAAACATCTACTGCATGACTGTTCGTCTCTCCACTGTTTGATCTGCAACAGCCTTTTGATTCACCTGCATGCCTCTATCCAATGGCCCAGACAGCCCCCTGCTCACTGAGTATTTCTACTTCTGGTGCTTCATTGTGACATCTCAGAGAGAGTAGATGTATCTGTTATAAATTGTCTTGGTGAACCAGCTACTTACTTGTGAGAAATCATTATTACAAGAATAAACGCCTGAACTATTTTCAGAAATATCTCCCTTTAAAACTCTATCTTGCAATGAACTCTCAGAACCTATTAACCTCCAAATATCTTGAGAATGAAAATTAAATTTTCACTGTATTTACAACTCTTACATCTCACTCGCCCTTTGGGCAGAGCCACCGCTGCTCATGTCTCCCCTGTATAGGTGTTCAGTATAGTAGGAGGAGATTCACTAACACTTTTCTGGTTCTTGTCAGTCAGACAGTCAGTTGACCAAAGCCGAGGTCTGGCCTGAGGGCAATTTCAGCACATTTTGTCGAGACAGACTCGCCTTAGGCTCACCAGCATGTCGACTTGTGTCAGCACAGCTTGCTTCTCACTAATGGATATCAAAGAACAGCCTCTTGGTGCATTAGACTTTTGACCCAATTTGAGTGTTGGGACTGGAGATGAGAAGGGCCAGTTGTACCGCTCCATGAACAGTGCTTTGAAATGGGATCTTCTCGTGTGATGTATAAAAAGCTTTTAAAGGAGGAAACTTGCAGCTTAATTTTCTGATAGGTCTGTTCGTACAGGAGACACAAAATACGATTAGAGCAATAGCCCTGCATTATCTACACATTTGGTGAAGCACAATGTTTAGAGGGCTATCAGAGGTGGTAACAGAATTTAATGTCTCTTTTTTTAAAGCTTTAGTTTGTGGTGGTGTTGAGCAGATTTCCAGCGATGAGCCTTTTAGTCAGTGTTGTCCTCTTAAGTAATGCATGTTTTTCTGTGTTTGCCGTGAGTCATTAAACTTGTTGACCTGTAATTCAGGCGCATTTTTGTTATATTGCATACATTTTATGTGGTTAGTTTAGTACTGAGTACCGGCACTTCTGATTTTTGTCCATATGAGTACCCTTACTTTTTATTGAGTACCTCCACCTCTGATGAGCGCGACCATACTTTCCCTATTTTTTCAAGTTATGAAATAATTGCCAAAACATAACTTCACTTTGATGCTGTTATGTTGCATGCTGCTAGCCCCCCCAGAAAGTTCTATTTTTAAGCGTCAGGCTTTCTAAAACCCTGCATGTAGAAATGCTGGTGACGCACTCCTAAAATAAATGCCAAAATTCTAGGATTATGTTGTGTTTAGGGTTAGGGTTGAGGTGAACTGGGATACTGGCACCATTTTGGTTCAATTCATGATTTAATCTAACCTAATTCATTTGATCTGGTTTGGCTTTTTTGTCTGTACCATGGTCAGAGAGAGGTGTTGCACCTGTGATTTTGGTTCAGTTCAAACGGGGAAGGCGATAAAGGGCCCATAGTCTTGTTGGTGCATCAGTCACAAACTTTTGCAATGTGGTCAGACGTATGGGCTCAAAAATCATGATGACGTATTCAAAAGACAGAAAAACAATATCAAATGTAACCCCCACAGCATGTCTGAAATATATTTAAAGGCATTTTGCTTAACACCACTGCAAACTATGGCCTCATCACCCCCTCACAGTCCATACTGTAGGTGAATACAATAGAGGTTGAGTACCTGTAGATTATGATTATTGATTTTTAAATGCCTGCAATGAGTGGCATGTAATTGTTTCAAGTCTCAGTTACAGTATTAGTCAGGATGTATCCTTATATTTCTTGAGAACATTTTATTGTTTGTGGGCCCGAGTCAAAATGAATCATCATTTTAATCATTTCTGTTTTTGACCTGAGTTCAGTGAATACAACAGGCAAGGATAAACAAATATTAAATTCAGAACAGACACACACAATTTCCTGTCTAGTCTTTGTCAATCACACACCCTGAGTTCAGTACTATTTATTAGAACTTTAATATTGAATGTCAGAAATGAATAGGATATAGAGGTGTGATGAATTTTCTCCCTAGACCCTCTTTGATGATTCTTATCAATTTCAACACAAAATCAATCATTAATGCACTCACAACAACAGTACATGTAGTAGTAAATCCCAAGTATCTCCTCCTCATTGTTGTTAACTAAAAGCCGGCAGTCAGCTCTGACACTGCCATGTCATTTTTCAGATGGTGTTCCTGTGTGGACTGTACCAAAGTCGCCCTCAGGGGAGCTGTTGAAGAACGGAGGTCTGACTCCTCTACGATCAGCCGAGCCCTCCCCGGCTCTCAGGAAAAGGAGTCTGTCCCATGGTGCTGAGGTGAGAAACGTATATATATTACCTGTCTTCTGTTTTGCTCTTCTTCCTTACCCTGTTGTCTTGGTCTGTGAGAGATCTGAGTTTATAGTGTCTCTGATGTGGGGTCAAGACCACTGTAGGGCTGCACAATTAATCCAGGAGATACTGAAAATGAAATGTTGTCTACTGGGATTTCTAACTGGAGTCTTTCTGACAGGGTTGGTTAGGTGAAAAAGAAAAATATTTTACATTTACTGGCTGGTGTTTAAGACATAGGTCCAATGTGTGTAGGAGATGGAGATTTGTACAGTTACATATACAGGAAATATTGGGAATGAGGGATGAGACGCGCAGCAAAGGACACTATCTAGAGTCCAACCTTGGACATTGTGTTTATATGGTATTTGTCTTAAACGTACAATATGTCATTTTTGCCGCAAGACGAAGTTTGATGACGTTGTGTTTGTATCATGGGAGTTGTTGTCTTCACCACCATTGGTGTCGTTGTGTTTAGCTTCATCGTTCAGGAGCTTTCTACCAGGAGTCGAACTATCCGCAGGGGTCTCCTCCTCTCCAAATAAATGGACCCGGTGATTAAAACTGGTAAAAACACAGAATAAAGCAGTTTTACTTTAGAAATTGGTGTTTCTCTGCGCTGTTTGGTGGACAAAGGACATGCCGAAGGTTACATTTTTAGTTAACAAAGATGTCATGAAGTCAATTGTAAAAATGTCACTTAAAACTGGATCAAAAGTCACTTTATGACAGCTTCTGGCAAGATGACCAATATGCTGACTCGTGCAGAGGGGACATGACACTATTGATGGGTGTGAAACGCAGTGTAAACTGAATAAAATTACAGATTTCTCTGGGTTTGAACATTGTTGAAAACATTTGAAAAAAATGTAAGTCCACAAATTTGTATAATAAATAACATAGTTCTAGTGTTTATAGACATTTTAATGTGGTTACATATTATATCTTCATAAGTATTAGTCTACCAGGATACCCCCGATAGCATTGACTCACACTGGGAAAGTCTTTCTTGTTCTTAATCTTAGTCTTGTCAACAAACCTACTGATGGTTTTACCCGATCCAACAAAGTGTTGCATATTATGCATTTTTTCTTATTGCTTAAAAAAAACCTTTACAGCACACTTTTAGATTGATTTCCTGTTTTTCAGGTAGGCATTGTTCAAGTTCATTATCACATGATGGTGCATTCTTTGAAATAAACATATGGATTAAGTGTTCCTTTATTAAAGCTTAAAGCTTAAAACAGGCCTATTTGTCTTCTCTCAGAAAAGTGAACATTTTGGAGGCACATGGTTTTCACTGTTTTTGTTTGTATGTTATTCTTTGTTTATATGCTAAAGGAAGAAGAGAGATTTTAAGAGTCAGCTGCCAAAAACCATTAAATTAATGGGCAATGTTTTCAGAAGATTCTACCCAGAGAACATAAGCACACTTCAGCATCACATGAACATGATTAAAAAGGCTTAAGTGCTCTGACCATTTTCTAACAAAAGTCTCAAGTATTTGATGTCAGACTTTCCAAAAGCTCTTAAAGACAGTCAGACATTTTTTTAAAAACAGATCTCGAAACAGTGAACCTGACTAAATATTTACTGTGATGGATTACCTATCATTTCAAGGCTCTGTAAGTTGATTTTCTTGCTGCAGTGAAGTGAATTAAAAGTGAAAGGCTTTGCAAGAAAGGAAATGGTAAGAAAAATCTGAATGAAATAACCCATTCATTCATTCCTAATTCTCAAACTTCCTGTCCGTGCCAGTGGACTGAAACAAATCTGTGGTATTGACAATGCTGAGACAATTTCTGCTTCACTTTCTTTTTCATTCTTTCATGTTTGGCGTTGTTGCCCAGCAAAGGAAGCTCTCTTCTTCTGAAAGTTTTAACAGAGCTGCTGTCACACAAGTGGGTCACGCAGTATAGAGCTGGAACTTAGACCACGTTCAGACTGCAGGCAAAAGTGGCCCAAATCTGATTTTTTTTTGGGATCAAGTGACCAGGTCAGACTTCTTCAGAAGTAGTCTGAACACTCAAATCTTGCCCAGATCTGATTTTTTTTAAATCAGATTTAGACCACTTCCATATGTGTTCCTGAATCAGACCCAGGTCTGATTTTTTTTTCAATGCGGCCGCAGTGTGAACAACCAAGGCGGATTTGATGCGACTTTTATGTCAATCTACATCGACATATGTCACAATTATGTGCCGGCGAGTTAGCCCTAGACACAGACCTCTGTAGTGAATTTGCAACCATAACCCCGCAAAAGGCCAAAATAGCCAATTTGGCTCTCTTTCTCTTCATTCTTCTCCTCCTCAGCACCTGCTCATTAATGTTACGGCTGCCATTACACAAACATTTTGAAATAACCTCCCTAACTTTAGTGCAACAGCGTGCTGCGTCTGATGTCTTTGTTATTGTTCTTTTGTGCATGCGGGTCAGTTCGAAACCGCAAACAGTTCACACTGGAATCTGATATAGGCCACATTTTAAAAGGTAATGTGAACAGCCAAACAAAAAATCGGATCTGAGCAATCCGAACTGAGCATTAGGACTTGTGGTGTGAACGTGGTCTTAGCCGATCCCAGGAGGGGAAATGGAAGTCAGGTGACGGTGACGTAGATGTGTAGGGCGGATGACAGTGTGACGCTTGAAGGGTGAGACATTGGTGCTTCACTTATTGTCCGAAATGGAAAGCAGATGTCTGAAAATGTTGCTTAACTTCAAAGGGCAATATCAACCCTAAAGGAAGGAAACTTGTATTTGTTTGAATCCCTATGAAGCACTTTGTAAACTGCTACATGAATTGAACTTATTAAAATATTATCATAAAAGACATAATTCTTAAAATGCAGCTTATCGTTCTCTGCCTTACATTTTTGCTTGTGTATTTTCCTTGTTCCCACGGATACCTTAGAAACATAGATAAAATGCTATAGTTGGTATTTCAGTTATCTAAAACATCAGCAGTAAATATGATATGTCTCAGAATCAAACAGGAAGGATGTGTTTCTAGACTCACCCCTTCTGCACGAAGTCGATGATTTTAGTATATTTCTGATCCTCCGTGTGGACCACAGTGCTCTGTAAAAATGGCAAATTGCAATTGTAAGGAATTCTAATATGTAGTTGAAGTATGCAAGGCAGGTTGAGAGACAGCCAATACTTGGACAATCAACAACAAAGTTGGAGAGAGAAGGCGGCTCTGGTGAATGTGCGCGGCTATTTGCCATTGCTTTTAGAGTTGATGATTTCCGACTCGCTTTGTGACCATGGCAACTGGAGGAAATGATACAGGAGCTGACTTCGCAGATATCTGAGTTCATTTCCAACACTTCCTCGCCTGCAGAGAGCAAACATTAATGAACACAGTACTGGAGCAACATCAGCTTCAAAGTTTCATTATCAGGTCTGGCTCAAAAACACATTGATAGTGTTAGTTACCAGAACTTACTGTATAAATCATGTCATACCAATCAGCAAACCATTTCCTCTGATCTAAGCTACAACCTACCTTTTTAGCTACCTATGTGATGAGATAACAGTAGGCGGATAGCAGTAGCTAGTGGTGTATGGTCTCCATTAGATGTGCACATCACAGCAGCCATTTTGACGATTGCTACACAAAAAACAATTAGTATCATTGGAAACACCTGTGTTTACCTGTTTGATGTCAAAATGGCTGCTGTGAAAAAGGTCATCACATCCACATAGTAAGATGGAGAGATTTTTTTGCTTGAAAAGTGACCAGAATGATTAATTGATGATCAAAATCTGTTGATAGACTGTGATTAATCAGCTACTTTTTTCAGCTTTATCTTGGTCACAGGTCAGACAAAATGGTGGATGTAACAATGTAAGCTAAACCATAGGCATATAATACATAGTCGCCACTTTAGCCTCTTCGGCCTGTTGCTGGGATATGTCATACAAAGCACTATAACATACTTTTTTCAACTGATTTCATTTTGTCGTTTTTATATTAAAAGATTTATGAGAATTTTTCATCGTCTCCACTTACTTAGAATCTCCGTAGTTAAAAGGCCTAATAGAGCGAGACACTCAAGAGAGGAGTGTATGTAGGCTTGCAGGAACTGAATTACTTTACATGTTGGAAAATAGTTTGTGTCATAATAATCATAAGTGTTACTATGGTTTGTAATTCATGCACTTGTCTGTCATCTCTGCAGGAGTGAGGGCATGGCTCAGATCCACACACACAGCGTATGGCAGCGTTGCTGGTGTACGATCCAGGGGCGGGGCGCCGTCTATGCATATATGTCTGAGTTAAACTACCATGGAGCTTTTCCAGTAGGTGTTGCTATAGCAACAGATTGTTCAACTAAAAGCCAACCCGTGTCACAGTAACAACGGCACAAAGGTTGATTTGATCATCGTATAAACATGGATCACCTTTCATGTAACACTTCTGTCACATGAATCACATTGATCCTCGGAGCTGTTGTTCTATTATTCAAACGTAACAGAATAATGGAAACCTCAGCTGTGAATAACAAGAGAAAGATTAATGGGGCAAGTGTCATCTCAGCAGCATTAACTGCCACGCCCGCTCGTAATAGCCTTTTTGTCAAATGTTAAACTTGTGTCAACGCCTGTCACAAGTCTCTGTTGTTAAACATTGAGGGAGCAGCCTCTCATGTCAGATCTTGTAATGGGCTGTCACTTGTTTAATACTAACCACAAAACACAGGTACTAGGGGCAGGAGGTAGGGGCGGCGGCGGCGGGGGGGGGGCATTTTACTCTTGATGTGAGCAGTGAATCGGCACCCTGGTGACTACTGCGAGGGATTTAGCTGTGCTGGCAGCGGCCTAATCTAGAGGCACAGAGATATAATCTGTCACGTTAATGATCATTTTCTATTGACATATGAGTATAAAATGGGTATTACAGCGTTGCAGTGTCAACCCATTTACAGCTAATTGTCAAGCTGTTCAACATACGTCATGGCACACAATTAAGAGCAGAGAAG